AGTTGCGCAAATAACTATCATACCACTTGCAATATTTCTTCCTCTGATATTTCTTATTTCCTTCATCTCCTTTATTCGTTATCCTGCTCTCAATGATTCTCACCGATCGTCCACAATCCCTCAAAGTGTAGACGAAAAAAAAAAAAAAAAAGATAGAGGATCAATTGAACTATCTCATGAAACGATTCCGAACCACCGGGGTGTTCGCTTCATTTCCCAGCAATTAACAAGATTCATCCCTCCCCTTCACCCATTCTTTTTATTTTCATTTAATAAACTCCCTCCGATTCAAAGTTCCGCCGAACTGTTCCTCTTCCCTCTCTCTCTCTCTCTCTCTCTCTCTCCCGGTTCATTCTTCTTCCGTCCGTCCTCGTCGGCGCTTTTTCCGACGACGACGCGAGTCCCGTTTAAAGGAATCAACGGACGGGAAATTAGCTCGGGGAAATCGCTTTCCAAGTTCCGAACAACTCGAGGGGAGGGGCTCTCTCTCCTTTTGTCAGGCTGGTTCGATCGTCCGACACCGAACGGAACCTGTTTTATTCCTCCTGAGTCTCGAATTTTTCGCCTCACCACGCGACAGCGACGGCGAGATTACAGCTCGTTACGGCGAGTCTCATGGATGATCATCAGGGATACACGCGTCGCCGCGCGATCACCGGTTGAATTAATTGGTCGAGCGATAAATATTTGAAATGAAATAACACTGGAAGGGGAATATCGTCGACGCCTCTGCCGAGGCTGGGTAAATTTGCCTGATGATTAATTAAGGAGCGACGCCGGGCTCGAGGGGGTGCCCACGACTACAGTCACATGGTTATGTTTGAATACTACCGTGTAGACGGTAAGTATTCAAACATACTTGCACCGGAACACGTGTACGCGCGAGCGGTGATTTATGCGCGTTAATCGCGCGCGGGAAGAATGAATTTGCAAGATCGACTGAGAGTTATCGGACACGATGGTGATTTCAGCGATATTCGTAAGATTCATACAACATCCGAGTAGTTGACGATCGTAAAGAGTGAAAGAAAAAATTTTTCGTGAGAAAATTAAAAATGCACGTCACCTGTAAATATATATATATACGAAATGTGCAAATTATATTTGGCAAATGAAACAAATCAATTTCCTCGACAGTATCGGCAAAAAAAATTGCAATACAATCCACGCTGCATTAATTACTACGCTGCATCGCTGCATCGCTGCCTAATTAATACACGCCAGAATCTCGAAATATCCTCGCGACAAATTCCAAACGCGCGAAACCACGACTAAACTTACTCCCTCGCCGGCGCTACGATTTTTCATAGCTGGAGGGAGGCAGGAGAAAGAAAGGGAAACATCGTGCGGGCAGACGATCTCGCTGCGACGACGCATTATTTAAAACCACGGGGCTGTGAACGCGCTTCGCGTTTCTCGTATGGAGGTTTCTTTCGAGCAGGCCGAAAAAAAACGAGGGAGGAAAGCACTTAGAAAAAGACTTCAGCGTAGTATCGCGGCGCGTATTGTTTACTCGATGCAAGAACGGTGGGGGCTGGGAAGCTTCGTGCTTCTTTTTCAATTCGCAGAGAAACTCATTCAATGCGAAAAAGAAAGAGAGAGAGAGAGAGAAAGAGGGGGGGAGGAAGAGGGAAGGGTAATGCATCGGATCTTAATAACGAGAGTATGGATGGCGGACGCGATTGTCTGAATTAATTTGCGAATGCGCAGGCTGTCCCGTGGAATTCTAACGGCGCGACCTGCGTGCTTGTGAATGCGCGGATAGTTGTCGCATAAGGTGCGCGAATTGTTCGTGAAAACGTGCAGTTCCGTATGGGAGCAATCGTTGAAATTGAAATTGAATATCCGACAGTTTCGCCTAACGGTGAAATGTTACTATTCGATAACCATGCGAGATGATAGCGGTATTTGTAATTGATATTGTTATTGCCGTTCCATTCTGTGAAACACGATCATGACAGATATTATCGTTTCGTTTGTCACGTTGTAATTAGATATATGATTAGTTATATGTTTATACATTAATACGATTAAACATAATTAAATATATTCCTTGATATCACGTATTTGATTTCATTTAGAACTGTGTAATGTGTATTTGTACTACCACACAGTGAGTATAGTACAGAATTTAAGAGTGAAATAGAAATGAAATAACTGTATTAGTTAAACATACAAATATTACGTTGCAACAGAATAATTTTTCAAATCGACGTGAAAGTCGATTCTACAAAGACTCGATGCTGGCACGAAAATTACGAAGAACACGGTAGTTAAAAAATTTACTAGAATCGTTGATAATTTTCAAACAGCAGTTGAGCAAGTTTTAAGAATTTTATTTCCAACGTGTGTTTACACTCTCGGCCGGAGTTTTCTGGCACTGGTTCGAGCGAGGCAGTAGTAACGTCCTATATTGGTCAGACCTGGCGTCGACACTATCCCTGCCTCAAATTTCCGCCATTCACTACTACTATTAGTAATACCAGCCTACCAATGACACGTCCCATGTTTCTGAAGTAATAGCAGCTACGCCATCCTGGACAACAGGGATCGACGTCTGCCAGATATCCAGTTTTCCAGCATCTGCCGAGTTTCAATGATAGCCGATTGCAAATCTCTGCGGAGAATGGAATGTCTACTCTGCTGGTACGTTGGCGCAGGGAAGAGACGAAATCAATTAGGCTATTGTGTATACTCGAACGAGAGATGCTCTCTGGACAATTTTCGAAACTGGCTACTTGTTGTTGATAAACGATAAACTGAGAATCGTAAAGCGTTGCATTTATTTTCCATTTTGTTATTTGATTTGTCAGATCTTTGAAAGAAACTCTTCCGTGCAAATCTCGTGCATTTGAACGTGTATTAAAAATACGTGTATATTTGTATGTTTCCGTATTTAAATACACTATCTATCTTCCTGCACATACACGCACATATAAATATATATATATATATATATATATATATATATATATATTTTCGTGAAATTAGAATTAAAGAAATTTTTAATTGCATCCGCAAGTCATTTAACGTATTTGGAATAGTTAAATGGACATTTTAATCGCAAAAAGAAATTGTGTATTTGCCACGCTTTGAAATTTTTAATACAGATTACGTATTTGAAGTACACAAGTACACGTAATGAGAAGCTTGACCATGTATCTAGCAATTAATACCTCTTTCTTAATCCTTTTTCCTCAAATATTAGTAAACCAGAAAAAAAATGTTTTAAATTCTCTGCGATTTTCTCGAAGAATCAGATTTCCTTGAGGCGAAACGTTAACCCGAGCGAAACGAAGAAATATTTCTCGAGACAATTTTCGATCGAGTCTCTCTCTCGTACAAAAGAACCATTCACCTTGACGACGAGGGAATGTCCCGAATCTATGCACGACAGCAAACAATGGTTAGCAATTATCAGAACGCGGAGCGCGGCCCATCGTTGACCGATCGTTGACCGGATTCCAGAGACCGTATCACGCTTTGAGCAACGACGACGCCTGCTGCATCTGGACTCCTATTTTCCGTGGCCGCAACACGATGTGCAGCCTCTCTGGTTTACAAATCCTACGCTATCGATTTCCTATTAGCATCAGGTAAACCGCCAACGTTATTAGCCAAGACTAGGAAGCCAGTAGTCGTGGACTAGCACGAGTCAGACTATCGCTATAAGAGTTGTGTACACAACGTATATGTATATATATATATATATATATATATATATATATATACACATACATGTACATGTAACGCGTATAAATCATAAAGCAATGTTGTCGGTGTTACATTAACCTTAATTACGTTCGAGCGTTAATGTTCGCGTTGCTAACGACTTTGGTTTCGCTAATGTTCGTTTACGCACGCGTACGACATGTGTCAGTGCGGGCCCAACCAACCATGCGGGGAACCGTGCGTCAAGCTAGCATACGTGCAAGTGCGGCGAAAAATATCTGTAAGATCGCTGAAATTGAAGAGATCACGATAGAAAAAGAATTTTCTTTTTTCATTTTAAGAGAATTTTGAGAGACAATGAAATATCAAAGTGGAGGAATTAATAAAGGATCCTCTCTTTATCTGTTTATAATTTTTTGCTGATTATGTGGAATCATATCGTCAAGAAACAAATGAGCATAGAGAAAAATTTTTAAAATTTTTTGAAGATTTTGTCGAACGCGATTTATTTTGCAGAACTGATCTCCATTTGGATTCATCCAGATTTGAATTTAAGAAGAAGCTAGATTATTTTGCTGCTGTGATCTCTTCCTGGGAAAAATCATTCTGTACATAAAAATGCATCGCTCTTTTTGTATAAACGTTATGGAAAGTTATATAAATTTGAGTGCTAGTGATGTGAAAACGCCAAGTTCGATTCGATCGTGCTCGCTATAATGTAAGAATCATTTCATGGAATCATTTTGTTCAATCATTCATTTACATTTAATAGCATGAAACTTTAATTCATTCTATAAAAATAATGAAATTTCTGTGAACTGGAATTTTCACAGAGTGTTACAATCCTTGCATTTCTTACTTTTAATAAACAAAACGAATACAAACCAATATCTTAAAATTTCCCGTAGATACATTTACCAATCTTTAAAATGTTCTTCAGACAATCCAAAATAATGAACGAAGATTGAGAATTTTAAATTTCTATTCATCCGTTTTTCCCTTATCTTCACGACATTCCGAAGTATAAAAATTATTCTCACCCTCCTGACTAACTTCTCAAGAATCCCTTTAAATTTTCATCGACTTTGCCGGCTATATAGCGTGGGAAGTTGGAAAAATTATATCTATTGCACGACTTTCTTTCCCCGCGATCAATTGGAGCCGGACGAATCAATTTGGCGTACAATATGTACGTACGTACGTACAAGAACACGACAAAACTCGCGAGAAGTGTCACACGCACACAGCTACAGGGCGATGCATTACGAAGATTAGTTTAACCTCGAACGAGTTTAAGCAAGAGAAAGCAACTAATGTTCGTTACTCACCGTCGTTGTTGGTTCTGGCTCGCGGCGGGGATGAACTGACCGTGGGGAAATTCCGTGAAACGTTGTCCCTCGGCTGCGATTGCGGTCCTTCCAGGTTCGGGCTTGGGCTGAACTCGGCCCTGAAGTCCGCCCTGTCAAACCCCTCCTCGAACTGATGCATTAAATCCACCTCGTCCACCTCCACGTCGCCTTGGTATTGTTCTTTTAACACGGCTCGCGGCACTGCAACCAGAGAAAGAGAAACGAATCGCGGTTAATGAGGTTTCCAAAAGTAAATTTCAGCTGAATACAGAATGGTATGTGTACGGGGAAACTCAAATTTCGTTTGCGGCGAAATTCTGTATTGAAGCTCGCCTCTCTGTATGTATACTTCGTTCCGTTTTCTACATGCCTGCTCATTTTTTCAAGTGTCTTTGTTCCCGTTTGTTAAAATTCAGTTTGCTTTTTATTGTGCGTAATTTCTGGTTACTTAGCGCGGAAGTGTTCCGTCGAAATCTAGCTGTTTGAATTTTCATTCAAAGGAAAAAAGGAAAAGTTTGGTTTGTTTTTGAGTGAATGAAATTAACATCTTTTCTTCTTCGCTGGCGAGAATGTTTCGAACTGACGCAATTGCTGAATAATTGTTTTGTATTTTTAAAAATTCAGAGTTAACAGAATTGTTGAAAGAACATTAAGAAAATATTTTATTCTGTTAGGTATCGCTCTCTATAACTTGGTTCGTGTTGCACGATAGTGTTTTTAATAGTTTCTAACTGGACGAAATTTGACGAGAATTCTTAATAAGCTAAACTCGAATAAAATATGAATCACACATAATGAAAAATGTCCTTCGCGAAATATTCAAATGAACCATCCCGTGATATCAATATACATAAATAATTCCAATTCACAAACGACGCGTAATTCATTAGTAATTTTCCTACCACACGCGTGTAAACAACAAGATTGAAATAATCTCGGTTCCTGTCGTATTCGCGTAAGATCCTTCCCCCCGTTCCAGAATCTGACAGTAGTCGATTTATTTCCGGGCTGCATAATGTTCGACTTCGATATACGAGCACCGCTATCGATGCACCGCATCGTGTATGCAATTGCATTTCAGTGGACAAGCACGTAGACGCGAAATCAGTGTCTTGCCCTGACATGAACGCGTTGCACAACACACGTCTCGTAACACGACAGTTTGCCGCGTGAAAATTTCCGATAAGACTGGATAGTAGACTCTGTCAGTACGTTGATAAATCAACCTGGATTTCGCGGAAACGAATCGAAAAATCGACGCCAACTGCGCGCAGCATCATCTTTGTAAATTACGCGAATACGAGGTGACACATTTCCATTCGACGAGTGTCTTCGCATACTTTTTACTTCGGATCTTGAATATTTTATGATACAAACATACACTTTACGTTCTTCGTTGCATAAAGTATTATTTTGTCTCTGCGGTTTAACAAAAGTAGCGCTTGTTCTGAGATTCTCGACGACGATTGCAGAAAATAGATTATATTGTAAATTATAAGAGAGAATATAATTACGGAGAATGAGTATAGACAATTAATTTCTTCTCTATATCTTATTGCATTATCAAGAATATATTTTACGAAAATCGGCTTTCGCATTGAATGACAGAAATGACATCTGTATCCATTATTCATCCATATTTCTACCGTAGTTTTAATTACGATATATTGTAATTTTTTCGTTTAAATAATAGCAACGAGAAGAATAAGATTGTATATATAAGAAAATATTTAATTATCACCTGAAATTACTTCGATAGGAAATGATTTAACAAGTGAATGCACATTTTACAAATGACATGTCTGAAATTGACTGCCCCCGTTATTTCGCAACATAAAGAAATTCATTTTCAGTCAACAGTCTGATTTTATTAATCGCCGTTCAAAAAATTTTAAAACTTCGAGACTTTGAAAAATTGTACAACAATGGGGTTAACATTTTTCTGCAGCACGTAAGGAATTGATTATATCCCTGAAGAAGCATGATTTTCGTAAATGCCCCGTTAGAAAATGTCGCCGTATGGATCGCTTTATTTTGAAGTGCAACGCGATGACGTAATAAAAGCTTAAACGGCTCTCCCGGCGAAGATAAAGGTTATATCTTCGAGAGAAGCGTAAAAATTTTGGCAATCTCGCTTACCGGCACGGAGAGAAGTTTCTTCCTTTATCGCTTAGCGAAGTTTCAGAAAATTTCGAGTGGCCACTGAATCGCCTTTACGTGCACAATCTTTAGACACTCAAAAATCGCTTACTAAATACTAGTTCAATTGTTTAAAAATCACATGCTAACAGAAAATGCGTAGCTAAATTCATTTCAACTCTTTTTTTTTTTTTTTCGTCGACGATTCGCACGTTGTTAGCATAACGTACAGTTTCTCTAAATATTCATTGAAGTATTTAATATGTTAAATATATTTTTCAATTAATAAAATCTATTCAATTAATAAAATCGTTTTGGAGAAATATATTCTTTATTAAAAATAAAACTTAGATCGCGGAATTAATTATTTATGAAATATTTAAAATAAATTTAAGAAACTTATTGCACGAGTGTTTTGAATTCCACGCAATCGAAAATTAATAAAAGGTTAACGAATCAATAAAAAAGTGATCGAAGAAACGATGATTAAACTCGACATTTACCCCCAGTTAATCAGTTATATCGCATAATTAATAGACAAACGTTAATTAATAGGCAAAGTTAATCACTTTTTCAACCTCTAATTGCGCACGAAGAGCACTCGCGAATCTCTATGTAAATGTTAAACGCGGCAAACTATAACAAACTTCCGTGAGTTTCGAACAGCTTTGAAGTTACATTTCAATTTGCAACGATTCCACCTCGTCCCTCCACTATGTCCTCTCCTCGCCGAGAAACGTAACACGGCTATATCAAACGTTTTGCCATCGTGCGAAACAACAGAGATAACATTCTTCTCAGAACGAAAGAGAGACAGAGAGAGAGAGAGAAATTTGCAATTTTAACAAGGATTGAGAAACCTTCTTGTAATTTCACGCGGCCACGTAATTCCTCCCTCTGCCCTTTTTCTCTTTTCTATTTTCCACCGCTGCTATTTATCAGCCACATTCCCGCCATGGCAAGAGTGTAGAAATACGCGGTGGAAAATACCCGGAGATAATTCTATCGCGCGTTTTGCATCAAACGGGATTCGCTTCCGCGACCTGGCATAAAGAAACAGCCGAACTACGTGAAGCACGCGTCGCGCTCCTTGCAGGTAACCCGCTACGGTGTCTCGATATGAAATTATGCCCTCCTTTCGCGAATAACTCTCGCGTTTAAGGAACGGCTAGCATTCTGTTTGTTAAATGAAAATCACTCTGGAAGAAGGAAACCCTTTCGTTTTCTCGTTGAAATTTATGATGTCACACGGATAAATTTAGCGTATATATTAATAATGTATATAATATATATATATAATATAGCGTATATATTAATAATATATATAATATATATAATATTATTAATGATATATTAATAATATTATATATATTATTAATATATACGCTATATTATATATATTATTAATAATATATTAATAATATATATAATTATAATAGCGTATAATTTAGCACTCGTGTCTTTCACAAAAGTCTGTCAGAACGCTTTTACACGGTAGTTTAAATCGGTTAATGATATTAGCAAACACAAGTTGTATGTTTTTACAGTTCTATAGATCAAACTATAGAGGTGAATTTCTCACTCAGTTTGCCGGTTCTTCTTCACCATGAAAATTAGTTCCCACCCTCAAACTATATTTTCCCTTTTCCATCTTCCTTTAACTTTAGCAGCTACAGTGAAGAATGTATACATATATGCTGTATAGTATGGTAGCTGCGACACTCTCGACGGTGGAGGGGATAGCGCTAACGATTAGGAGAGTGGGGGCAAGGGCAGCCAGTTAGCCACCTCTGTTTTAGATCAAATAGGATACTTGGCTGGTTTGTAATCTGTGAAATTTATTCTTAATTTTTAATTTAACGCGTGTACGTTATTTGCTTCGTCGTCAAGTTGTTACGCAAGGAACTTTATTGCTGATCATTGTAATTTGTAAACTTTTGAAAGCAATACCAGTTTAATCGTTCATGAGTAATAAATTTGACATGCATATTTAACATTATCTACTGTCGTGATATTTTTAATATTTTACAGTTAATTCTAAATATTTCAAAGTCAATCATCTTAATATTACAAGGAGAAAAATTCAATCATCTTCAAAGTTTTTAGCAAATATACAAATACTTTCACGCGTGTACATGAGAATTTTAAAACTGTCTCTCCGTAAAAAAAAAAGTAGGAAACATCTTATACCTCAAAAGGCTATCATAATTTCGGGGGGGGGGGGGGGGAAAAAAAAG